GGCTTTACTCAAATAAAAAAAATTACTATGGAAAAAAAAAAAAGGTTGAATGTTTTTGAACTAGGTAATTTAAGAATTAAGTTAAGCACTTTTATGCCAAATATTAAAAAAAATCAACAGTACATCAAATGAAGCCATCGAATTAATGAAAATCGAACTTTTGTGCAATTAGAATCTGTGATTTTGTTTCTGAAAACTTGTTTACATTTGTAATATTAATATTAATAATAATAATAATAGAAAGAATAATAAAATATAAATACAATAAAAAAATTTCCAAAATTTTAGTTCATATTTTAATTACGATATTTACGTTATTTATGTGCAATTTTTGGTGTTATGATAGTGCTGTATGCTATATATTATAGAGGAAAATGTAAGGGGGGGATCGATGGAGAAAACCATTCTATTAAAATGGGAATATGTCCCTAAATATCGTTAGTTAGTTAAGAGTAATAAAAAGTCAAGTAATTAAACTGCAATGAGAAAGTACAAGATGTTAAAACAATCAAAGGTACATTAAAAAACACTCCTCTACGGATATTGGCATGTTTTACATGGAAAGAACTTCATTTTCTAAGAGTATTAAAATAGGTTTGAATGAAAATTATAAAAAGTATTTTATTTACAGTACAATTAAAAGAAAAATAGATGTTAAAAGAAATTAAACCAGTACAGTAAAAGAAAAAGATTCCAGATATAAAGTACCAACAGCATTTTGGTATTTTAACCAAGAAAATACGTACTTCTCACAGAAGATATGGGAAATTTGGGGTGTAGAGACATTAGGTTTTTTTTTTCTTTTGAAAGCAGGAGAGATGAAAAATGAGCAATGCCCTTGCCGGGACTCGAACCACTCGAATACACGTCGAGCGCGCTGACCATTACACCAGAAGGCATGCCAAGAAGGCTGGAGAAATACCTTATGGCAGTTCCAGAGTCAAACACTTGGTCGGTTGGAAGGTTTTAATAAAAAATTAGGAAATAATCATAAATTTAAAAATTCAGTGATCTGCAACTGGAATTTACCAAATGAAATCATTTAATACTATAAATCTTATAGCATCCAAATGTTAAAATTAGATGGGAGTAACTATGCTATATCGAGTAAGATCTTCTCCTTTAAATCTATTGGAAGCAGTCATAAGAGGTTTTAGCAGAATGCATTTTAATAATAACAATTTTATGCCGATAAGAACGCTATCCAGTCATGATTTCTACGATCGAAATTATTCACCTCACATATCACGGAATAAAACCACTTTATTTTATACCTCTAAATAAATATCACTTTCCAGATCTACTGTTCTTTCACAGATCAAATTTGTCTGATATGTATACTTAGAGAATAAAAAAGCTCAGGAAACATATGAATTATGGCACTGGTAATTGAGAGCCATGTGCAGTATATTTATTGCCGTAAATGAGGCATTATTCAGGTGGGTAATAAAAGAATGATGTTCGTCAGCAACCCGCCGAGCTAACAGTGAGTTCTTCCTCCACACCCCCCCCCCTACGAGGAAGGATAAAAAGATAATGATAGAGCCGAGACTACGACAAGGGTTTTTCGGTCAGTGAATAAATGCGTGAATACGACATGATAACCAGTTAATGATTGCCTTGCTCGATAGACATGGGAACTTTCATTTGGTTCTTGTTTTGCCAAAAAAAAAAAAAAAAAAAAAAAAAAAAAAAAAAAAAAAGTGTGCTTTGCTTAACTTATGACAACAATATATACTATGAATATGTTAAGGAAGCATATTATCTTAACAACTGTGCCCGTTTATGCGCAATATCAAATACAGATGATTTAAAATGCAATGGATAAACATATAAATATTTCGCATTTAGTTCATTTTTCAGTTTTATTATAAACTTCAAAAAACAAGCCAAATTTTCATTTATCAAAATATCGAAGTATCACAGTTGGAAGCAAATCGCATAACAAATTTTAAAACAGTACAACAGATCATACAGGGAAACAATTTGAATAGGATAGTTAGGAAAGCGATATATAATAGCACATGTATGATACAATATAGATTTCAATTAATATAGCTGATTTTAGAATAATAAATGTATGGTTTAATTCAGCAACAATATACCTGAATTGATCTCTTATATACTAGTGTCTATTGAAATGACTCACCAGCTCAGAAATTTGCATTTTTAATTCTAGCTATTACATGCGACTAATAAAATCGTCGGAATAATTCACGCAATCCAACTAGAAGTTACACCCAGTTGAAAATAACAATGGAATTGAATTATTAATGCAGTATCCAGCAATAATAAAAATTCTCTCTCTCCCTAATTTTGTGATAAAATTACATACGTTATATCTAAAACTGTAAATTTTATGATGGAAGAGAGTATTTCTCTTTAACCTGCATGGTTTACACATGGTTTTTTTAAATGCGTTTTTATATGCATTTCGTTTTATAGGTTTTTAAGAAAAATGTTTAGTATCTTTCATTTGAAAAATTACAATAAATTTTCAAAAACATATAAAAAATTTAAATGACCCAAACAAAAACTTGTTCGTGAAAGAAATGGTTGAGTGTATTTTACATCACATCATAGAGAAAAGTGCGGTAATCATAGATAATAACCCGCTAGTACATCTAATATAAAGTATTGCTTTGTGCTGTAAATCATAATCATCTTTTGAATACCTGTTTTATTGGAAAACATGCTAACTAATTCAGGTTTTAAAAATAGTTATAGATTTCTCAGAATAAAAAAATGGTCTTTTTAAGTTATATAGTTTCATGACTAGAAAGCAAGAATCCAAAGTTATATACTAATGTCAAAATAATAAATTATTTAGCTCCAACATCAGAGACTTTTTAAAATGGAATTTAGGGATGTCCAACCCGCGATTTCCATGCGAAGGACTTCGCATTATGCAAATGAAAAGTGAATACATGCGGAGCTATTGAGCGAGAGCACGTGGCTTTGAATTTGAAAATGAAAACCGTTTGGGAAAGTTTTAGTTCATTTGTGACTGCTTACTTATATTGACATGAGCATGCATTTTAAGACCAAAAATAGCCAATAATTGATGTTTTAAAGCATTACAGAATTTGAAATTACATTTTAACAGCAGCTTTCATTAAAATTAACATCTTCATTTACCTTCTACTCGGAAAAAGAAATTCAAGTAAGCAACGTAAAATGTGCAGCACTTACTGATGTTTTATCAGAAGAATTTGACACTATATTCAAGATTCCATAAAACTTCAGATACATTTATTTCAATATACTTGCTATTCCATTATCAGATGACATGAAATATGCACGCTAACGTGTGCAAATAAAATGCATGAAATTGTAATCACATACTAACATACATTTCGGTGGACTTTCATAAAATACTTTCACCTAAAGAAACATGCTTTTACCTAAAGGAACTTTCTTTTGCTTCACGAAAATTTTATGTTCGTAACATCTGTTACTGAAAGAATGTATACTTGCGAGTATACGAGTATGATGCATACAAAAAGTAAAATAAGAATAAAAATTTCAGAACATCTTTTGTATCGCCACGGCTACCATATCTGTCAATCTAAAGATAGATGCACTGGAATTCAAAAACTGGTTTAAAGTTAACATTAAAAATATAATGTAATTATTTTTTCCTCTTGCTAAACACCCTGTAGAATAACACATAAAGGTACTTGTAGATTTTACTGGAGACCAGTGATTTAACAGCAGGTTTGATGGCGTTTACCGCAAAAGATGCGGCAAACCAAAAGCATAATAAAAACTTATCTTCTTCATTTTCTTCTTTTTCTTCTTGTTATTATTACTATTATTTATTTATTTATCTTTTTCTCCAGATTCAAAATTACCTGTATGATCACATTTTCAGTTTGCCATCATGTGAGAATGATATTGTTGCATTCTTCTAAGAAAGATATTTTAATCTTCACTCAAATTTTGGGAAACGGGTATGAAATCGAGTTATGCCATCGAGAAAATACGGAGATAAAATATGAAAAATTAAAAAAAAAAAAAAAAGCCTCTGCATCGGTAACTGGGTCACTGCTTGAAAAATTATATTCGTGACAGGGTAAACTGCCACTGCGTACTTACGACTACCTGAAAAATAAATTACAACATTTTTTTTTCTTCTTTTAAAATAGAAATTTGCATCTTTGGAAGCTAATTGAAGTAAGTCCTTTTTTCCCTTCATAACATTTCCTTAATTTAAAAGCTCTGTTTTTTAGGGGGGGGGAAGCGTAGCCCCGTAATTTGAAATTTTTTTCCTAGTGTTTTGGTCGCTGGCAAAACCGTGAAGGACCGGTGTTAATATAATTTTGCAAGAAGCAGTAATGCATCAACATATTTTCAACTAGTTTATGTATTTTTAAAAGTATATATACATACACATGTATTTATGTAGAAATTTATAGTGTCTGTACCAGAAACTGAGTATGTGTATATTTGAAGTGTTAAATATCAACATACTTATTCGAATCAGTTAATGTATTATAAAAGTGATTGCATATAAATTTTAGTACACGTAATTATTTATAATATCTGTAACAGAGTTCCGTACCCCATATCTGTATTAGTGATACCCGCATCAACATATTTAGCTCTAGTTTGTGTACTTTTAAAACAGTATGTGTATACACATGTATTTATGTGCAGATCATTGAAAATCTAGCGTTAATTTTAAATAGCTTAACGGAAAAATACAAGTAGGACCATAACGGGAACGATAAAAGCAGTAGAAACGGCCTGTACGTTTTTAGAAACCAGTTTCGAAACAAAGTATTATCAAATTAAAAAAAAAAAAATGAAACTAAATAGATGATTCTACTTATTTTTAAAAGAAATTTAATAAAAAATATATTAAATAGGAAACATCAACTGATCACAAATTACGATCAATCAGTTTCAAAGCAATGTTATGTCAATATAAATTTAAAAGCAATTTTATCATCTTATGTAGCTATAAATGTTAGCTTATAAACTTTGATGCAACTCACCACATCCCTCTTCATCTTCGTTGCCATCACAATGTTGGATGCCGTCGCAATGCAAGCTTCGGTCCAGGCAAATTGACGTGTTGCCACAGGGAAATTCTTCCGGCCCACACACGTCGAAACGACCTGTGGAGGAAGAAGAGTAAGTATCAATTGAATGAGAGAGGAAAATGCATTTCTGGGATTTGTTTCCACCTGGAATAGAATTCCTAGAATGCATACGATTTTTCTAGTTGAGAATAGGGTTATTTTTATAGGCAAAAGGTAAAGTTACAACTTTTTATATTTCAAGGCACATTTATTGTTAGGAAAAATGTGTTTGCGCTGCTTTATAAAGAGCACACATTTTATTTTGACTATGAATGACTATTGATGTACAAATCTTATTCGATATTTTGTGTTAAAACTAGCAATGCTCGTTGTTTGGAAAAGTGCAGTGTGCCCTTATAGATCTGGAAGTTATTTACTTCATTTTTCATGCAACGTTCCAAACACAAAATGAGAAAACTTGCGGGATGCTTATTCATCATATGCATTCTAAACAGTGATGCATATTTATCATGCACATTCTAAACAAAGAGCCAGTGAATTTTAATTCCTCCCTTAAAATTTCCAAATATTATTTTGAAGTCAGACAATAAATACAAAAAAAAAAAAAAATCAATGAAAATTGTGACGCTTCATTTAAAAAAAGGAAAAGATCTATTACAGTTTTTAATGCAGTTCTTTTGTTGATTTGACCTTCACAAAATAGCACTTAACACAAAATTATTAATTTAAAATCATATTCAGGCTGACAAGATGTTTGCTGTGACCTAAATGTGCTTAACTGACAAGTACAAGTGAAGGGTTTGCAGAAGTACTGTGCGAAACAACCGAAGGTCATTATCAACTTATAATTAAACAACACACTGCTACTTCGCAGTGAGCAGTTACTCTTCTAGTTCCCTTACATTACAGAGCTTCTTTACGGAGTCGAATTACTTCGAAGATCACTAGTTCCTAATCGAAAGTTCATAGATTTTTTGCTCCTTTAAGCTTGCCTGTAATATTTAAAGGTATTATGCACAAAAAGTCTAAGTATTTCTACCATAAAGGAATGAACTGGATTATTTGGATATTAGAAAAATACTGGAGGGCCATCTGTCTAAAACGAGTGATGCTCCCGTGGAGGACTTTTACCCCTTATGTACCGCTATCTGCGGTACATAAGGGGAAGTCGACATAAAGTCCCATGAAATCATCCTATTCGCCGGGATGTGAAACCATGTCGAGCTATCAGTGTTCATCGATCACTACTCTATCACAGGTAGGTGATTTTTTTTTTTTTTTACTTATTATGTTCTCCGCCTTAGGTAAAAACTACACGCAAAGGGAGGAATGCTTTGTGGAGGTCTTTTTAACGGATACTGGCTCGTATCGAGGTTACACATAGGGAAAACCACGAAAACGCCCATGCTCCCAGTCCGTTTAGCGGGACTCGAGCCCGGACAAAACTACAAGTGTTCAGCAGCTTTTACCGTTTGGCCGCTGTGGTAGGCGCTGTTAACATTTCTTGTAAAGTGTACGCATTCACATTCTGCCGTTACTATACCTTTAAAATTTATTTGCATAATAATACATTATACTATGTATTTAATATTTTTGTCTTTATTTTGATTTTTTAATAACATACGTATTTGATACAATTTACAATATAACTCATAAATTTTATATAAATGATTGAATGAATAACTACTGTTTTGAATAATAGATATTATTAATTACGCTGCGGAAAAATCGTCTGCTATTTCTCAGCGAAGAATTTGTTAATTCTCTTTTTTTATTTATCCCTCCCCCTCTAGATCCTTTTTATCGCTGCTAAAAATTTAGATTACAATATGCTAAGAAGGTTTTTGAAAAATTGTTGAAATAATTTCTTTTTTGCGAAGGATATTTCAGTTTAGAGTGTTACTCTTTTTTTTTTTTTTTGAATACCTGAATGTTATCTATGAGATCACTCTGACTAGTTAAAATGTAATTTTCAGGAGTATAATTTGTTTTCAAAATATTTTTATCATGAAACAATGGTAAATTTAAATTACTGTAGTAAATTAAATAAATTTTAAACGTTGATGTGTTATATTACTGTTTCTTTAAGTTTGAAAAATTACGTTAATAAAGCAATAGGCGTGAGTGCAAATACATTTTGTTTATTCATGATTGACAATACTCTTTTGTTTATATCACAAGATTATTTCATTTTGACTGGATGCAAAACGGGCAAAACTATTTAGCGGCTTTTCACTCTTGGAAACAAAGCATTTTCCTGTGATCCAGTTGATAAGAAAGTACTGATTTAATTATCTTCTAGTGTAATGTTAAAGTGCTTGTGAGCAATCTGAAATTCTCACACTGTGAACTCAAATTAGACATCTGAATATTTCTTACAGGCAAATTTGTTAAAGAGTTCTCACTGGAGTATTAGTTTTAAGCTAGTGAATTTGGATCATATACTGAGTTATGAAACTATTGATAGTATTCGAAACACTTTAATGATTCCTAGTAGCACCAAAGTTAAAAAAGAAATCAAATTATTTTTAAAATCGCAGAGACGTATTTTTCTCATTTATGCAGCGGTTTCTTTTTAGCGTAATAAAGTTAATATTTTTAATTAACTGGCTTGCAATCATGAAACATTTTAACGTGAAATATTTCTGTACTTTTCAAAACTCATAGAGCCATATTTTGTTGCAGCAAAACTCTGAATAGCCGCCATATGTTTCAAAACAATAAAAGATATAAAAAAGTAGGATATTTTGGTTTAGCAAGCTCATAAAACTTACTTTATGAAGTATTTTTACAATATAGCGTATTTATCGGTTCAACCATAAATTGTAGGACATAATTCGAATCATAAATACTTTCTTTATGAGTTTGTAGTTGATATCTAGTTTCGAGAAAATAGGAAGTATTATAAATTGTGTTCTATCTATCATTTGTTTCGTAGTTTATGAACTGATATTCCAAATGCGCAAGATATAAAGGAATCCTCTTTATATAATTTTTCTTTAGTTCTCTTGGTTTAATCCAAATAGTTAATATTTCGGAACAACTTTTGCTCTTTACAAGATGTTACTTTACTATGGAAAATTAAATTATATATTAATAAATAGAGTTATCCATTACAGTTCCTGTTAACTAAAAATACTGTCATTTGAAATATTTAAAATCTTTATCTGCATATTCTTCACATAATTTTCTTCTAAATTAGAAGAAATGGTTAGTTACTTTTAAATGATCAACTGATATCTGTCAGAATATTATACATAGGCAGAAAATAAATTAATTGCCTAGATTTAAAATGTTAGGTTAATCTACCATTACGCATACAAGCTTACGCTATTACTTACAAGCATACAAGGTACAACTTTGCCTATTAACATTTAGCTCATATAACAAAAATTTTACACATGCACATATACTGAAATGTTACTTTTTAATACAAAATTTCAGTATTAAAACATTAACATGAGTTATTTTATTTGTAAGATGTAACGCGATTTTTGTGATGTAACATGATTATCATGAGAATATGAGATGTTATAATCTACGTAAAATATGTTTACGTTTTTAATATATTAAAAATATGCGTTTATCGAAATGACACTTTGTGTTAATTAGTTTCTATTTTTAAATGTTTTAAAATATTTTCTAGCTTCTGGTGAATTTTTGAGGTAGCAGAATTTTATATTCCTTTAGTGTCATCATCCGAATAGCTTAGAAATAGTTTTGAGTGTATGCGAAATGCTGTTTGTGAAAAACATTCCTACTGAATGCAAAGAAAATTAATTTAATTTGAATATTTCAAGATTATTAACTAAATTAATAATTATATAATAAATCTATTAAATATGTTTTTTTTTAAATTCAAGATATGTGCTCCTCTATATTTTCTTTCTTCAGGTAAAGGATCATTGTATTATGGCAGTGGGTGGTCGTAGATTTCCCTTAACTGTGAATTAAAAACGTTGCTTAATGCGCTGTTAATTTTTTTAACATAATTCAAGAACTTATATGGTGCAATTATACCTAGCATGTAAAAACTTGGTTGAAATCGAAGAAATAATATTTGGTTCCATTTGTGTTCCGTATTTCAATCGCTTTAGTGCTAGCAATTTCACATCGAGTAATTTTCTAGAAATTATACCTCATAAAGATAGTTAAAGAATTCTGTTTATTCAAACAATTGCACATGACCTGAAATCTTCGAAAATAAATATCAAATTCGCGGCCAGGAGAAATCAATCTCTGCCGAGACACCTAAAAAGCGTGTATTGTCTGTTCCCTGTAAGACCTGTGTCTTACAGGGAACTTCTGCAAGTTCACCTCTGATCACTTCTGGCAACCTTCTGCAAGTTCAAAAGTGGGAAGGTTTGCTAATGTTAAAAATAAAATTATTATTCGTATAGAAAGAGTAACGCATTTCACATCTAATTTTCAGTTTAGAATTCAGCATACGTGTATTACTTACAATATGTGCGTTACTTACTAGTTAATGCCTATCGCTAATTGATAAGTCATTTGCGCACTACTTGCGGTTTTTCATCAAAGTACAGTAACCAATTGGTTGCCTTCTGTTGTCATCGGTGATAGCACCCACGCGCTAATTTTTCAGTAAGAAGCGAATGACCTTATCTTCTTAAGAGGATCACTTGTCATTCGAACCCATTTGTCTTGATGAGCAGTTCATCGCTATGTACATATCATAGCATTCAGATCCTACTTTACAGATAATAGCATACTAAAAGCAGGCTAGACAGAAAGACCTCTAATATTTTAAAATTGGGGAGTATATAATCCGCAGTTGAAGAATCAAAGACTGAAGAACTGAGAAATAAATTTTTGAAATCTTTGTTAAAATCTTATACTTTGTTGTACCCACTTAAGGTACGTTTTGCATTTCTAAAATTTACATATTATATTGTCTCTTTGTTTTAAGTGAAGTACCTTAGAAATGCTATGCAATAAATTTTATTACAGAAGACCATTTTCATGACTGAGATCAAGAACAAGCTTTTTGTAATTTTACTATGTACCGATGCTAAAAATTCCTAATTCAAAGAAAAGAATTCTGTTAAGTAAAA